AAAAATATAAATACCTTTCTCTTCTGTTCCTTCAGTAATAGCTTTGAACTACTACTGCTCTTTCATAGCCTATGCTTACTACAGTGATTTGTTTATTATATAAACATCCTTTTTCACCTCCCACCAAGATGGTCGAAGTTCTTCCAGGACCAACTATTCATTGAATTTTCTTTAAGCTACTTACTGAATAAGTGAAGGACCTTAAAGTTTTACTACAAAGTCCTGGAAGGCAAGGAGGAGGAACATCCTCACGTTCTCTGTGCCTCTGATTCCTTACCCATATCATGTAGTTCCTGGACAAGATATTCCAGGATCTTTGTCTGTTTGTTTTATAGATTTTATTTAATGTTAATATATTTTATTTAAGAGTTTTACATATCTTTGTCATCCATTGGTTCCTCTAAATCTTGTAAAAGTTCATCTTCAAGATAGCCCTTTGTAAGAAGCCACCATTGTCCAGTAGGCATTAATCTCAGATCTGTCAATTCTTCTGGTTACACCACTTTTTAACCTCCATTATGGACAAATGTCAAACATTTCATGCCTGAAAATTCTGTTATTTCCTTTAGGGCCCTAGAAGTAGAAAGTACATTTATGTTTTGGGGGTAAATAGTGTTAGTGCTAAATAGTTCTACATTGCTAACTTTTAGTATTGCTTGAGCAAAGTGTTACAGGTCTCATGGTCACCACTGAAATTAACCCACAGTGATGGAAGCAAAACCTGTCATCCTTTCAGCCAGATATTCCAGGATTTTATCATACTTATATTAATATCAGCTAGAAAAGAAGTTAGATATTCTTAGTATTCAAGTATATTAAAGAATTTTAAAAATGTTTTTAAAAGATATAAATATCCTGTTTGAAGAATAAGAAACATCTGTATTCTGAAGATGAACACAACTGGGGGAGTTTGAAATATTGATGTGGAATTTTTATTGGGAACAGAAAACAAAAATCTCCATGAGACCTGAGAGTGCATCTCAGGGAGTATTTGGTAACTTTTAATCAAAACACATTTTATATTTTTTGTTTGTTTAGGAAAATTTTTTTTTCACTTCCTGAATTCACCAGCTGTTTTCAAAATAATGAACTTTTCTTTGCCAATCTAGAAATGGCTTTGGAGTGGCACACTCTCTATGAATTTGTACTGTGCATGCACATCATCTATAACTGAGAATGGGACATCTGATGTGAGGGTTACAATCAGTCATTTCTTAATGGTCTGAAACTAGAAATTTTAAACATAAAGACATTTTATTCATATAGAAAATTTAAACTTTCACTGAAAAGGTCCCAGCAATTGTATTTTACTGTTCCTGAGGAGAAAAGCATGTTTAAATATTTGACCAAAGGTCAGGAATAATTACACACCTCCAGGATGTCCCTCGTAAGGCAAGAACCTCGAGACCTTAGTTTGAAGAGGTTACACATCCCAAAAAGCTCTCCTCGGTGCTCTTTGGATCCTTGAACGGCTTCAAAATATCGCTTGGCATTTTCACTTCCAACCACCACGCAGTGCAGTTGCTAAAACAGAAAAAACACAAGATATTTTTGAAGTGTTTGCTCCAAGAATATGTCAGAATTTCCTGGCATTCCCTGTATATACACAGCTTTCGCTGGAGCAGGCAGAATCTCCTCAGGGAGGAAATTTTGTTTTAATTTCCCTGGCAGATGTTGCCATGATGGTGAAATAATAATAATCTGGCCAGTATCACTGAAGCAGAGAACTTACATTTCCTATTTTATCTGTTTTCTAACAATTGAATCAAAATTGCATTTCGGTGGAATATCTACATAACACAAAATGTTTAATAATAAAAATATACATGTTAATACATGTTCCCCCACTCCTTTCTAGGCTCTAGCTGCAATATTGTTGGTAGCGACCAATGAGTTGGTTCCAATTTTTAGCGAACCCATGTACAAGACACCACCCAGCCCTGCACATTCCTTGCTGCTTGAACTTATTGTTACAGTCACTGTGTCAATCCATCTTGCTAAAGTTGCCTCTTTGTCATTTAATTTCTTGGGTGCTGCTTCTATGAGCCAATGCCTACGTAAAATGAACCCCTTGGTAGCATCTATTTATCATGGTGTTACTCATTGGTCCAGTTGTGAAGATTTTTGTTTTCTTTACTTTAATGAGTTGCAATCCATACTGCAAGCTGTATTGATTGTAAATGCTTCAAGTCCTCTTCAGTTTTACCAAGCAAGGCTGTGTCACCTGCATGCCTAATGAGCCTTCCTTCAATCCAGATGCCAGGTTCTTCTGCAAATACTCCAGTTTTTCAAATTATCTGTTCAGCAAACAGGTTCAAAAACTAAGGTGAGAGGATCTGACCCGGATGCACACCTTTCCTGACTTTAAGCCACACAGTATGCCTTTGTTCTGTTCACACGACTGCCTCTTGCTCTATTTACAGGTTTGGCTTGGGCACAAGAAAAGAGCCCTAGAATTCTCAGTCTTTGTAATATATCCATAATTTGTTATGATCCACGTAGCCTTCGCATAGTAAATAAAGCACAGGTAAACATCTTTCTGGTACTTTGTTTACACTCAAGATTCATCTGATGTCAGCAATGATATCTCTTTCCACATCCTCCTCTGAATCCAACTTGAATTTCTGGCAGTTCCCTGTCAATGTACTGCTATAACCATTTTAAATTATTTTCATCTTGATTTTACTTGCATGTGATATTAATGATATCACTATTATAATCAACATCACTTACTTCCTATAATCTTCCCCCCCGCCAAATCACTATCTCAATAAAATTAAATTATCACCTAAAACAACTATGAAATAATGTGTTGGTGGCAAAAGAGTTATAATAATGCTGTCGACTAATAGCAAAAAGGCAGCCACTGTTTTAAAAATACTGAATCTGTGAAACAATTTTAGATAGAGAACATGGGGCTGGTACTCTTAAGAGCGCATACAATTTTAGCATCTATGTCAATATGGTTTTTTTTGCTGGATACTTTTAACAAATATGAAGCAAATCTGAAAAATTAAATGCAAGTTGATTGGCTCCAGGTACATGTTCTTGGAAGAAACAAATGCATTCTAAGTTTCTTGGGAGAAACATGGAATGCACCCACTGGAAAGTCATTTCTGTTGGTGGGATTAGCCAGAAATGATACTGACTAATCATCATCAGAGCTGTTTATACTGTAATCAGTTACTCTAGAAAAAGAAAACTCTTATTAATAATAAATGCCAAGTGCTGAACAATTATTATATGTAAAGCATTTTATTTTAATTCTTTTAACTCCAATAACCTATGCAACTTCAGTTTCTGCATTTTACAAATAAAGAAATGGAAATGTAGAAAAGTTAAGTTGCTTGTCTAGAGTTACCCAGCTGGAAGTGTCACTTCTAGGACTTATACTTGAATTTAAACTCTTCTTAAACTTAACTCATCTATTTCTCATCTCTAATCGGTCTCTCTTAAGAAAATACCCTAAAGACCTTGGTTTTAAGGTGTTATTAATCAGTACATTGACTTGATCAATATCAATGTCCCACACACCTGTTTACAGTCCTGGACAAAAGCGATTAATGCAACTAATGGTTCAGTTGTCTGATGGCCCTTCCTACTGACCCATCCTTGAAATTGATGTATATTATGGGGCCATTAGCAAAATTTTAATGGTAATTTCTGTGTGATTTAAAAATATTTTGAAGTCAGGGCTTACCAGAGATACTCGTGTATAAGCCGAGTTTTTCTGAAAATTTTAATGCAGTTTTTGTGGTAAAATTAGGTGCCTTGGGTGATATTCGGGTTGGCTTATACTCAAGTATTATATGGTATATGAAAATTTTAACAAAGCTCAAGATAACAGCTTTCTAAATAGTTGAAACTTTGTAATAAGTTTATGGGAAGGCTGCCCCACATAAAACAACAGTTTTTATAAAGAAGGTTGGGGAGATCTCGGATGAGACAAAAGGGAGAAGACTATCAACTTTGATAAATGAAGAAACTTTGGTTGAAGTCCAGAAACTGGTGGAAGATAATAGAATTACCAGTGATATGGCAGCTACTGAAGTTGTGATCTCACATGATTTAGCATTTTCCCCAACAGTTTTATTAGTACATAATTCACATATCATACAATTCAGTAGTTCAGTCACATGATGAATTGAAGAGTTGTACAATCATCACAGTTTTAGAACATTTTCTTCATTCTTATACTCATCATCATTAGCTTCCCAATTGAAGTGAACATTCTGGCCTCAGAAAGCTTTTTAGGCTCCATGGGTACCAAAAGCACTGCGTGAAGATTGGCTAGCTCAAAAAACTAACCTTTCCATCCATCTCTTAAGCAAAGTTGAAGCGAATGAAGATGACATGAGGTACAGATCATCATCAGCACTAGTCTGATCCAGAGAGCAAGGGCTAATCAAAATGCGCTCCCTGGCGTCCAGGGGGCCTTCTGGCCAGTTCAGTTCAAGTCAGAAGGGTCAACTCAGCAGGTGATGATGACTGGTTTTGGGGGGTTTCCAAAGTGTAATTTTGATCAATTTTCTTGAAAAACATATGATAATCATGGAGGACTGACATGAAAACTGCATTAGTGAGCAAAGGGCCAGGAAAGTTGTGCCCGGAAAAATTCCCATCATCACAATGAGCCTGCTCATTCTTTGAGGGTAAAGGGCTGTACGATGAGAATTGAATTTACTTACCCAATCATCGACCCAAAAGGCCTGATTTTGCTCATTTAGACTTCTTTTGTTCCCCAAACATCAACAACATTGACAAGGAGCATGATTTAACTCGCCTGAAGATGCTGAAAACACTCTTGTGATGTGCTGAAAGTAAACAGCACAGAATTCTTTGGGGAAGAGTTAGAGATGAAGACACTGCCTATAGATGGAGGCTCGATCACGAAATGATAACTTTAATTGCATATTTATTTTAACTTTATGAAAAAAAGTAACTTTATAGTTTTGTTAATAAAGGTTTTTGTGATTTTGTAGCAGTATTTTTTTCACTTACACTTGTATATTTGAATGTTAATCTTAGTGTAGGAACTATTTTCTACTAGTTTTTATTTTAATTTGTTTTAGTTTCTTTCTCATTGTTAGACTGAATTGTATTCTTCAAAAAGCTATACTGAAGTCCTAACTATGTACCAGTGAATGTGATCTTATTTGAAAACAGAGTTTTGAAGATGCTATTAGTTGCCAATTGTTGCTAGGCTCTCTTTTTTGAGTTAGAGGTTTTTTTTAATTTATAGGCTTTCTTGGAACAAAATAGACCAGTTTTAAATTCATAGCTCAATTTAAAAAATTATTAGTTGGGATTTAATACATACATCACTCCATATTTCAATCACACTAAGCAGAATTGTACAATTGCTAACACAATCAGTTTCAACCAGTTTTCTACATGGACTCTTTGACATGGTCTCTCTTAAAACCCACCGCCACCCCTGTACACCCCTCCCCCTAAACCAATTACTCTACTTGCTGTCCCTATACAGTCATCAATCCTAGATTTCATATACCAAAACACAGAAAAGCATATAACAGTTCCAAGAGGGTGTCCTCCATTGACATAACACCTTTAAAACACACTCTAACATGAACAAACAAAACGATACAAATAAAAAATACTGAACATTTTGGAAACCAGATCAGATTCAGCCTGCATCATAGGGAGGATCTACTGACAAAGTTTTAACTGTTCAAGTCAGATTTAAGCCTTTGATCTTCTATACTCCTCTCTCCAAAGCACTGTTTAGTGACCGCTTTCCTCCCATCCCTCAATTTTAGATAGGGGAGTTCTCTGAAGCCTTATTTCCTAAGTAAATCCACAAATGAGTCATGGTCTCCCACTGTCATCTATCGCTTTTTGCACACCAGATTATCACAACTTAAGCTCTGATACTGATCCCTCCTTCTACATCAGATTATATGGATTCCAATCCTTTGGTAACTGATGACTGTGTGCTTCTTCCATATGGACTTAGTTGACTTCTCACTTAAATGGCTGCTTGTTTGACTTTAAGACCCCAGACATTATTTTTTCTTATAGCCGGGCTCAATCGAAATTCTTCACCACATTTTACTATAGTATCATCTATTACCTTCTTGAGGGCAAGAGTAGGGCAGGGCAATGATGTAAGAACTAATTGTACTTACTTTGGAGCTAGGATTTAGTGCCAGTCCAAAGTCCATTCTGGATCTATGCTCCTCCCCCTCCCCCTTTTAATTTGCTGTAACTTTGAAGTTGAAACATAGTTCAATCATGTCAAACAGAATTGCACATTTTCTTCCATAATCAGTCGCCAAACAAACTTTCCCTTCCTGGACTCCATAATATAATTTCCCTTTAACTCCTCCACTCTTTAACCCTGCTCTCCCAAAAACCCTTGCTATATTTTTCTTCCTTATAGGCGCAAAGCCTCTGTGTTTCATTTACCGAAAAACAGAAAAACAAATAACACAGTTTCAAGAGGGTGACCCCCACTGGCAACACACCACTGAGCTTCAACACACCAGAGCTACACCCTATAA